TTGGAAAGTCAGTGGGATTCTGTGTGAATAGCTAATGCTTCAAGTCGGACCGATACGTCTCCATAAGCCTCCAATATGCCTGTTATTTGTGTATTGTTCCAGTCACGGTACTGTGCATTTTTCTTCTCCATTTCCACTAGTGCTGGACAGTGCGATATCCATCCTCGTTTAATTTTATGATAACGTAAAATGTTAATCTCGCACACAGACCCATTATCAAGTAGAAATCAAGCGTGGTCGGCCTACTTATCTTTTATCACCTTCAACTTTCTCCAGTTCCTCTTCCCTCATATTTCTTCATCCGTTTTCATGCTTCCTTATCCTTCTTCCTGCCCCTCCTTATCAGGTCTCTGGTCGTAGTTCGTTTGTTCGTCAGGGAGAGAGAGTGAGAGAGAAGAGAGAGAGAGAGAGAGAGAGAGAGAGAGAGAGAGAGAGAGAGAGAGAGAGAGAGAGAGAGAGAGAGAGAGAGAGAGAGAGAGAGAGAGAGAGAGCAAAATATCTAGATTATTGTCGTTGTGTGAATCAGTGTAATTGTTCAACGTATGGAGTAGCCGGAGGCTCGATCCTGCGTCTGCTAGATGAATAACACAAACTGTACACTCGATACCAGTTTCCCCTAATAAAATATAAATGGATAGAGATGAGCCATAATTTTTTTAAGACCAAATCTTCATCAAAATTCTGTATATACTGTGCCGTCAGCTGAAGGACGGCCATCGCTTTCGACGCAAGACTAGCTGGTCAACCAGGCTGTTGCTACCAGCAACCAGGTCTACGCCGGGAACATAACCTTCCTGGTGAGGCACAGAAACTGGTGCTACATAAGGGCAATCTATATATATATATATATATATATATATATATATATATATATATATATATATATATATATATATATATATATATATATAATATGACCATAGTGCATTATTTTAAATGTCAAAAATCGTTAGCAGTAACCATGAAAAACTTATCAAGAAAGAAGAAAATAACTGAGTGTGTTGTATGGCTCCTCCAGGAACATGAGGAATGAGACATTTGTTGAAAAACAAACAATGTGAATTACGTAAAGTGAGAACATGTCCTCCCAGGCCAGTGTCACTAGTGGGTTTGTAAGGATACTGGAAGTACCCCAGTTGGAAGTAGCCTAGTTGAAAGTACCCTAATTGGAAGTAACCTAATTTTAAGTACCCTTATTGGAAGTACCCCAGTAGGAAGTAGCCTAGTTGAAAGTACCCTAATTGGAAGTACCCCAGTAGGAAGTAACCTTATTGGATGTACCCTAATTGCCATTATCTAATTGGAAAGTACACAGAGTTCATAAAATAATAAAAAAAAGTAGCTAACTCTTTTAATAATAAAAAAAGTAAAACAAGAACCCCTTTTTTTTTAAATTACACGTAAAAAAGCGAAGAAAGACAAAAAAACACATTTCCTCACAAACAACAATAAACAGGTGGACCGGATTCCCTCATCACCAAAAAAATGAAAACGTATTTGGAAAAAAAATTAATTAAAATTGACGGGACACATACTCAAACAGACATCCCTGCAGACTACCCTTTTTTTCCCCCCATACAGGGGGAAAAAAAGATAGTCAACAAAATAATAAAACGAATTTTAATGTAATCCAATATAACGCTAAAGGACAGCTTTGATGAACATGACATTTCAGCGGAGTTAACTCGTTTACGGAAATACTCAACTGTCTAAAAAACAGTCACTGATCTGGCACTGCTATTTCCGTATCTTTTATATGTAGTATACTGAATGAATATGTATGTTTATTAATTTATTTTGTGTGTGTGTGTGTGTGTGTGTGTGTGTGTGTGTGTGTGTGTGTGTGTGTGTGTGTGTGTGTGTGTGTGTGTGTGTGTGTGTGTGTGTGTGTGTGTGTGAGGAGATAGGAAACATGGGGACTAAAATGGGAAGAATAGGTGCTTGTATTTTTTAACCTCCAACTGAGGTCCTCCTCAGTAGATCATCTGCATCCTTCTCTCTCTCTCTCATTTTCTTTTTTCTCCTGTCTCGCTCGTTCTCATCTCACTCCACATATCTTTCTCTTCCACACTTACCTTCAAGTCTCATTATCCACTCGCTCATCTGTCCCCCTTCCTCACCTTCCTTCTTCACCCCTCCCCTGTCTACTCTTTCAACTTTCTCACTTTCCTCCTGCACTCTCACCTCCCTACCTCTGTTTCACCTTCACCTTCCTACTTCTCACTTTCTTCCTTCGCCCTCACCTGCTTACCTTTCTTTCTTTCATCTTCCTTCACATTCACCTTCCTGCCTCTCACCTTCCTCCTTCATCTTCACCTGCCAGGGTAGAGGAGGCTGGAGTGACCCTCGCCACCTGGACTCCGCCTGGGTGTCCGTCAGACTGAGGGACGTCAACGATAACCCACCACAGTTTCAGCGTCCTCACGCCCACGTTACTGTGAGGGAGGACACCGCCCCTGGCACCCTCCTGGCCACCCTGCCCGCCCACGATCCTGATATGGTGAGTACGATAACGCCCACAAAATCTCCTTGACTGTCTTCTCCACCCATCCGTTTGGTATGGTAAGTACACTCTCCACCCACTACATTAATATTTAGCTGTGTGACCCAAGAACAAATATATTAATAATAATAATAATAGCACTAACTCCAAAAAAACAAAATCAGCAATAATAAAAATAAGTAATAATAATAATAATAATAATAATAATAATAATAATAATAATAATAATAATAATAATAATAAGAAGAAGAAGAAGAAGAAGAAGAAGAAGAAGAAGGGGGATAAAAGCAATAATCCACTACATCGACGTACCTGATCCCTTAAATCACTCCAGAACTCCCCACTAACACGTTGACATGTTCCTGACTGATGACACAAGCCATCATCTCCCAACATCTGTTTCACACCCTCGGAGACTTCTTCAAGAGATCTAACACCCTCGGAGACTTCTTCAAGAGATCTAACACCCTCGGAGACTTCCCCAAGAGATCTAACACCCTCGGAGACTTCTTCAAGAGATCTAACACTCTCGGACACTTTTTCAAGAGATCTAACACCATCGGAGACTTCTTCAAGAGATCTAACACCCTCGGAGACTTCCCCAAGAGATCTAACACCCTCGGAGACTTCCCCAAGAGATCTAACACCCTCGGAGAGTTCTTCAAGAGATCTAACACTCTCGGACACTTTTTCAAGAGATCTAACACCATCGGAGACTTCTTCAAGAGATCTAACACCCTCGGAGACTTCCCCAAGAGATCTAACACCCTCGGAGACTTCTTCAAGAGATCTAACACTCTCGGACACTTTTTCAAGAGATCTAACACCATCGGAGACTTCTTCAAGAGATCTAACACCCTCGGAGACTTCCCCAAGATATCTAACACCCTCGGAGACTTCTTCAAGAGATCTAACACCCTCGGAGACTTTCCTAAGAGAATTAACACCCTCGGAGACTTCCCCAAAAGATCTAACACCATCGGACTTCCCCCAAGAGATCTATCACTCTCGCGAATGAGTGAATGAGAGAGTGAGAGAGAGAGTGAGAGAGAGAGAGAGAGGGAGAGAGAGAAGAGGGGAAGAAGGGATTAATTTAATTGCTTTAATTCTCTGGCTTTGAATCAACTAGGTCACTGACGCCGAGGGAGGGAGGAAATTAAGGAGAGAGAGATCGTAAGAGAGAGAGAGAGAGAGAGAGAGAAATATTTCAGCCAAATCTCTCAAAAACTGAATTGCTCCAGTTTATATATATATATATATATATATATTTTATATATATATATATATATATATATATATATATATATATATATATATATATATATATATACATTTATATATATATATATATATATATATATATATATATATATATATATATATATATATATATATATATATATATATATATATATATATATATATATATATATATGAAGATTGAGACACTTATGCAGCATATGGGAATCTTTATTCAGGAAACGTTTCGCCACACAGTGGCTTCATCAGTCCAATACAAAGAGGAAGGCGCAAGGAGAGGAGGAGTATGAGGTAATCAGTCCCTCAACCTGGAGTCGATGTGTTCAGTCCATCTACAAGATTGATGGACTGAACACATCGACTCCAGGCTGAGGGACTGATTACCTCATACTCCTCCTCTCCTTGCGCCTTCCTCTTTGTATTGGACTGATGAAGCCACTGTGTGGAGAAACGTTTCCTGAATAAAGATTCCCATATGCTGCATAAGTGTCTCAATCTTCAACTTGTCGGTTTTTCAAAACCATTCATCACACACACACACACACATATATATATATATATATATATATATATATATATATATATATATATATATATATATATATATATATATATATATATATATATATATATATATTTCACTAGTTTTCTGTAAATTTCATTTGGTTAATTAGTGTTGATGTATACAATGTACATTACAAGCACGCGGATGGAGAGATACATGGATGGACAAAGACTTGAGGAGTCAGACAAGAACATAAACAGGCAAATAAAGACATGAGGAGGCAAACAAGAACATAAGCAGGAAAACAAAGACATTAGCAGGCAAACAAAGGCATGAGCAGGCAAACAAGAACATAAGTAGGCAAACAAAGACATGAGCAGGCAAACAAAGGCATGAGCAGGCAAACAAAGACATGAGCAGGCAAACAAAGACATGAGCAGGCAAACAAAGACATGAGCAGGCAAACAAAGACATGAGCAGGCAAACAAAGGCAACGACGATGCAGCTTTAAGTTATTAAAGAATGAGACGACAGGCAGGTCTGCCCATGTTGATGTCGTTAATATTACTTAATTCTCTGGGCCCGCGACTCTCTGGGCCCGCGACTCTCTGGGCCCGCGACCCTTTGGGCCCTCGGCTCTCTGGGTCCGCGACTCTCTGGGTCCACGACTCTAAAGTTCGGCTTTCGTGGGTGACACAGTGCTGTGTTCCATCATCAATCTGCCGTGGCATGGGTGACACAGTGCTGTGTTCTATCATCAATCTGCCGTGGCGTGGATGACACAGTGCTGTGTTCCATTATCAATCTGCCGTGGCGTGGGTGACACAGTGCTGTGTTCCATCATCAATCTGCCGTGGCGTGGGTGACACAGTGCTGTGTTCTATCATCAATCTGCCGTGGCGTGGGTGACACAGTGCTGTGTTCCATCATCAATCTGCCGTGGCATGGGTGACACAGTGCTGTGTTCTATCATCAATCTGCCGTGGCGTGGGTGACACAGTGCTGTGTTCCATCATCAATCTGCCGTGGCATGGGTGACACAGTGCTGTGTTCTATCATCAATCTGCCGTGGCGTGGGTGACACAGTGCTGTGTTCCATCATCAATCTGCCGTGGCGTGGGTGACAGTGCTGTGTTCCATCATCAATCTGCCGTGGCATGGGTGACACAGTGCTGTGTTTCATCATCAATCTGCCATGGCATGGGTAACACAGTGCTGTGTTCCATCATCAATCTGCCGTGGCGTGGGTGACACAGTGCTGTGTTCCATCATCAATCTGCCATGGCATGGGTGACACAGTGCTGTGTTCCATCATCAATCTGCCGTGGCATGGGTGACACAGTGCTGTGTTCCATCATCAATCTGCCGTGGCGTGGGTGACACAGTGCTGTGTTCATCATCAATCATCACTTTCTACAAGTACATGTACAATGTATACAGGCCTAGCTGACATCAATGACATACTACTATATACTAGAATGCCTCTTGTTATGCCAAGCATTTAGGGCAAATTAGGTGAAGTTTGTCCCAGGATGTGACTAACATCCAGGTACCTATTTTACTGGTAGGTGAACAGGGGCAACAGGACACGTTTTAATGTATCCACCTGTACCGAGGATCGAATCACGGACCTCAGTGTGTGAGCTGAGTGACCTAGCAATCGAGCTACGGGGCTCCTAATTTTTTTTTTCTCCGAGTGAAAGCATCAAACTGATAGAATTATCTCTTTTTTAAATGTTAGTTGATTATATTGTCTCGTCAGAGACCAGTTGTTACAGTATATCCATCCACATCCCATCTTGTCCTCGAAACAAAGCGTTCCATCGTTTACACACACGTCAGTTTCTTCAAGGTCGAAAAGGCGACAAAAAAATACTTTTTAGCTGTTATAGCTTAAGTAAGTGCTTAATAATTCGAAAACGGGCGAAATTATTTACAAGTATTATCTCTCAGTCCACAGCAGGATTCGAAACTGCACACTCTCTATCAGAGTACACAGTACCTATGTCATTCAGCCGGATTCCAGATCTGGCTGATACAGAGTGAGCAGGTTCGAATCCTGCTGTGGACTGAGAGATAATGTGATATGTTAAGCAGGTTTGTAAGCCGTATGAAACCTCATTACTGTGTTCCTCTTACGTTTCATACCCCAATGCCAGACTCCCATTAAGTATTTTGGCATTATTATGTCTTAGTTACTCTTCTACGTCCGGGTCCATAGGAGTTCAGGCGCTTTGGTTTATATATATTAATAATAATCTACTTTTGACCATCCCTTAGTTCCTATCCTTCCTTCGCTAATCTCAGGTCCTATCTTGTGGCTCCACAGCATCCCAGAGTCTCTCGCTCCATCTAATCCCCCACTAAACCCTCTCATTTTCTTCTCTGCCTCTGTATATCCTGCTGCATCCACTTCTCTCAGTACGTCCTGCTATGCGCCAGCCGCCCTGTCTCCCCATCTAGCTAAGGCCCTTATCGCGGGGAGAGTCGATTTCAGTCTGACTGCACTCCATTATATCATAACACGGGACTGCACCAGCCCAATTATACATGTGTGGGCCAACACGCCAGGCTATCTAGATAGAGTCAGAGTTCTCTTCTGTTTTGAAAGTACCGAGGTACCATTGTGTTTGTGGAGGGAGAATGTGGAAGAGGCACGTGGAAGAAACATGTGGGGGAAACAAGCGGAAGAGGCACGTGGAAGAAACATGTAGGGGAGACAAGCGGAAGAAGCACGTGGAAGAAAAATGTGGGGGAGACAAGTGGAAGAGGCACGTGGAAGAAACATGTGGGGGAGACAAGCGGAAGAGGCACGTGGAAGAAACATGTAGGGGAGACAAGCGGAAGAGGCACATGGAAGAAAAATGTGGGGGAGACAAGTGGAAGAGGTACGTGGAAGAAACATGTGAGGGAGACAAGTGGAAGAGGTACGTGGAAGAAACATGCGAGGGAGACAAGTGGAAGAGGTACGTGGAAGAAACATGTGGGGAGACAAGTGGAAGAGGTACGTGGAAGAAACATGCGAGGAGACAAGTGGAAGAGTACGTGGAAAGAAACATGTGGGGGAGACAAGTGGAAGAGGTACGTGGAAGAAACATGCGAGGGAGACAAGTGGAAGAGGTACGTGGAAGAAACATGCGAGGGAGACAAGTGGAAGAGGTACGCGGAAGAAACATGTGGGAGACAAGTGGAAGAGGTACGTGAAGAAACAAGCGAGGGAGACAAGTGGAAA